CGCTCCATCAGTAATGATTTTCTGCTCAGCTGAGCAATGAAAGGTACACATGCACTCATTCTGCCTGGCACTTCCCATTTCTCTCTCTCTCTCTCTCTCTCTCTCTCTCGCTCTCTGTAAACCCCATCATCCATCCCTCAATGCATCTCATTAAAGTTTTAAAGCCAAGGTAAGCCAGCACATCAGTGAATCCCTCCATCCGCCCACCCTGCCAAACTCCACCCCATCCCTTCCTCATTTTCTCCCCGTTTCTCACTCCGGGGCTGTGTGAAGTTAGGGAGAAGGCAGCTCGGGATGTCTTTATTTAGAAAATAATAAGCTAACGGGAGACAGCAAATGACTATATGAAGAATAGGAGGAGGGAGGAGGTGTTGAGAGAGAGCTGCATCATCTTGTAAAGAGCTCCATGTCTCAGTGCGAGCTAGAGAGCAGGTTGATGGAGATGCAGGCCACAGCTGGCATGTTTATTCCGGTGAGGGGCATTGGGACTATTCTCAATCAAATTGTTATTCTCTACCAAACCTGGCAGGAGGACACTGAACGGCAGCTGTACGCTATGGCTGGAATTAGTAATGTCCCTCCTAGCAGCACACAGCACCTCCTGCTCCAAGGCCTTGAGTTTAAAGCCTGTGACCTTTGCTAAACAGTGGTCACTGTGGATATAAGTGACAATTATGGGACAATTGTAACGTAGTATAACAGTAGCACAAGTGCAGAAGAATCACAAAGTCGGCAAACTAACTCAGTAATGTCGCAACAATTATCTAACATTAGCTAATGTTAGCCACCATAAGCCACTGGTCATACCAGACCAAACAGGGATGCAGCAGCAAAACCCCTGAGGGCACTGAATTGAGTAAGGATGTATTTAATTACTAATGAATTCGACTTTTTATTTCTAAGAGGAAGAATGTGTTAGTTCTTCTTTGAAAAGTCACACATTTGTGCTGTTAATTTATACTTTAACATAAAAACTGAACATGAGAATGAATAATTACTGTTAACTTTTGTTTTTTTCTGAGGTATTTATTTCATCATTAATTTTTTTCTTTCCAAGTGTAAATGAAGTTTGGCTGAATAAAGGCTTGAGGCTTTAGTGTTCACATAGCATTTATTCTAAATGAGCTCATCAAACTAAACTAAGCAAAGTGAGGAAGTTTCATATATAATGCATATATAATACAGGAATACATTTCCTCAGGTTCATTAGTGACCATCAAGTTAAATTTATCAATACAGATCACTGATGATTGACCTTATTGAGTCCTTAATAGGCAGGATCACGCCCAACTTTACCTTACAAGCTGCACCATCAGTTTTTGGAGGCAAAAGGTATTAAGGAATAGTTCAGTCAATATTATCCAGCAGGCTTTTAGCAACTTGTTCTCTGAAATGGGATGTTGGTAGGGAAATATCAATATTAATGGCATAACACTGAGACCTCATTATGCTGAAGGTCATGGTGGGATGTGGATTTCGAGCGGAGGAAGATAAACGAAACTCTTCAACATTTCTGGCAGAAGAGAAACATTCTGCGAGCTGTAGGACACCTCCTGAAGGCAACCTGTCATTCTCACTTGCACACTTTTCAAAAAAAGTTATCCGCCTCTTTCAAATTTTTAGCTGAAAATCTGGTAAATCATCCCTGTGACTTTTAATGTGTGCAAAGTGAATTCATACATTAAAATGCATAAAAAATGGTGCCGGTAAGTAATGATTTATGGCACCAAAGGGACCTGGTACACTGCAGATAGAGATTGTACCTGGGCAGGTAGTGTAGTGCATGGAGGATGAGGTGCTCACCTGCATTTACTAATTATTACATCACAGGAAATCAGTGATGATTTTGTTGGTGGCGTCTTTCTCATATTTTAACTCTTGACTTCAACTCAGGCTTTATTTACAACAAACATTTTGCTTTGTGGTAGTAGGATTAAAAGAGGTGTCGCTATAGTCACATTAATGAGAACTTTGTTCTATTCAGGTGTTCCAGTAAGCCATGACAGTGTAAATGTGAGCTAGCATGCACAATAACAGGACTGTGGAATAAAGAGAGGGGTCTGTCTGCAGACTGCAAGAGACGGGCGTAACTCTAGGTGGGTGTAATTTAAGTTGTCCAAATCACACAGAACCACATGAGATGGCAAAACAAGATGTTGTTGGCAAAGATGGCAGATTGTGTGAAGATAATAGTGGCTGGACACAAGAGGACAAAAATGACTATTTTAAGACTGTTTCTCTATGATGTCATGAATAATTGCCACTATTCCACAGATAATATTAGAAGATGTATCAATTTACTGTGATAAACTATCATTTGCCATCCATCCGCATTCTACTGCTCATCCATGTCTGCAATTGCAGTGACAGCAGTCTATGCAAGGCTGCCCTGATGTCTCTCTCTCCCGTCAGCTCTTTGCCTGTAGATGAGAGTCCCACTCTGAGAGTGAGTTGCTTCGGTAGGTAAATGTTTATGTTTAAAACTTGGGTCCTACAAAGCAGTTGGCAGCAAGTTAGCATGGCTGCCATGCTTCAACCTCTCTCACACTGGACCAGGAGGTACAACAGCATGACGTAATATGATGTGGGCATAACTTTAAGTATCGCAGGCTGCAAATGGGTCTTCTTGGGAATAAATGGAATTCAGCCATCACTTATTTTTTTTAACTTACACCTATTCTGACAAAATTTCCTAAAGGCATTACCAAACTTTCATTACAAACAGGACAACTCACAGGAAAACTACTGTGGTAGGCAAGCTAACCTCTAATATGCTAAGGCAGGTGGGAGCATGCTAGCAGCAATCAGCTAGCATGATATTTGTCAGTTATTGTTAGCTAACTGTCAACTAATGTAAGTTAGCATGCTAGCTAGCTTGGTCACTGACTGCAACATATGTTCCATTTATGCAAGAGAGGTATTTGAAAAACATATTTTACTGTTTTAAATATTACTGTGACGGGGCCCTACTGTGTGTTCACACAGAACGAGTCAAAGTCAATGGAAAAATGTGAGCAGATACAGATTCATCCATGACAGCACCAGTAAAGACAACGAGGTGTCAGTGCAAGTTGAAAATGTTTCAACTTGACAGAAAAAATTGCTCATAATTTATGAATCTACTTCATAAATGTACAGAGACGAAAGGAAAAAAGAGACTTGAGGGAAATAATAAAGATCTGCAGTCACAGTTGAGTTCTGAGTCCAGTCAAAGGCTGAACTGAACACACAGACACAAACATGGTCCTTTGCTATCCTCACACATCTATTATCGCACTATTATCACACGTCCTTTGTTGGCTAGCTCACAGCTAACGTACAGTTGGTACATTGACTATTTGTGGTGACTAAACACAAACGGTCCAGTAGTCACGCAGCCAAGTGATGTGAAGTGAAAATTTGCTTTGTTTTTGTTTGAGCACATTATTAAATGGAAGTGAAAATGACTTACATTTCAAACCAGGCCTTATTTTTGAGTAATGACTTGGACTTACATACACTGGTTATCGGTCTAATTTATTCAGTACTGGTGCTAACATCCTATGTGAGTTTCTGTACGGATAACAAACAATGTCATTTTTATACTTACATGTGTACCACCTTTGTTCAATGAAAAAAAAAAAAAATTAAGATTTTTTTCTTTTAACCAGAATTTGCCAAATTCTTATTTGAGCAGTGTTTAAAGTTTCTTAACACAAGCAGCCATGAAAGAACTTAACCTAGTCCAGTATAGTGTAAAAGTAGCCGAGTTACCAGACTTCCTGATTTGAATTATGAAAACTCTGATCAAAGAATAAGTAAATTTAGGAATCTAAGGATCTGAAAATAATTCAAAGCTAGCTTTTTATACTTTATGACACCTGTTGCAACTAAAAAAATTGTAGTCGCTAGTCAAAGAGTGATTTGATATTCAGCCTATTGTTTACGGTGGCCTAAATGACTTCTCTAATCTCTTGCCAGTCCTGTCAGGAATAAGACCCCACACACAGATGTGGAGTTACAGTAACTGTGTATGTAGAATATGAATGACATATCAATGTGTGTGTGTGTGTTTTGTGTTGACAGGGGATCGGAGGTGATGCAATCACCTTTGCCTGGGTGTGCAAGCCCCACACACTCACTGTGCCCGACACACAGCTGACTGGCTGATGCAACTCATGTGCTCCTGTGGTTTAGCATGAAGCTCTGACAGTATAGTCCTCTGAATGATGCATCACAGTGAACTCATTTTGCCTGAATATATTTCACCTTTGTTACTGAGGTGTGCTCTGCAGGGATAATCATCCCTCCATCGCTGTGAATGATGTCAGTTTACATTTCTTATCACAGCTGAATATTTCTCATTGTAGCTGAAGAGTGAGCGGGGTCAGAGCTCAGGGGTCGGAGCTCAGAGGAGTGTTTGCTCTCTGCTCAGGACACAGCATCGTGTCCTCAGTGTCTATGCAGTGATCCAACCTGCTGCTAACAGGCTTTACAAATGAATGACCGACACTCAATCTGCTTGGTAAGCACATAAAGCATTACCTACCTAGCATAGAATTAATCCACAATGTTAAAATAAGCTCACCCTTTTTAATTAAGACCTCGTATTAATTATAACAACCTTGAAACTTTCCTTTGTTTGAATGTTTTTGCTGATTTTTGACCAAGAGACATTCAAAGCCACAGTGAGACTGAACAGATCATGTGCAGAAAAGTTGTTCAAATTCTTCCAAAGTAGAACATTTCTTTTATTTTTCCTTACCTACCGAAAAAAACTATACCAATAGAGCTGTGCACAAATGGGAAGTTTCTCCTCCTGCTCTTCAACCATTTTTAAATGTTAACAGCTCATCTACCTCATTACTTCAGAGTGAATTCAGGATGTATTCTGAATGTACCATGTGGAAGACAAATCTAAGAGTTCCTAGATGTTTCAGACTTTTAATGTCAAGTAAGAGCTGTGCTGTGGCAGAGGGAAGGAAAACAAAGCATGAGAGAGAGAGAGAGAGAGACGTTACCATCGGAGGGCGATCTTGATGGGTGTGGTGAGGCAGGAAGTGAAGAGGTCGGCGGGGAGGTCAGGGTTCATGGGCAGCAGCTCGCTGGCCTCGCAGGCTGCCAGCTGGATGCAGTTCTTCATGGAGGGTGGGAGGGGCATCTGGGCGAGCGGGTGGCTGGGATTGATGGCTGCCACCTGAATGGACACAACATAACATGACAGTGTTTGTTTACATTCATTTGGCCACAAAGGCCACCTGAGCCACATCCACAAATATATAAACATAAATAGAAATTGTCATGTGAACACAGTTCTCCATCCTGCCTGTTAAAAGGAACAGGCAGCTTGCGCATGTCCAATCAGGAGATGGTTTTGAGCTATTTGGGTTTCAGACCTAAAACACTGAATTATTTAACGGCTCCACAGCCGGACCTATTGTCTGGGGAAATGAAAGACAGAGGGACAGAGACAAACAGGAAGCTGGCTGACACACATCTTGACTTTAAAGGGGTGAAATTTGTGGTGTCCGTCAGAGGACACAGCAGACACAGACAGAGAGAGCATCCCTTTTTGAGAGCGCACGTTTCTTGACACGTTTATCAAAAAATAGGTTTGAGCACAGCAACCGCAAGAGGTTCACTTAAACAATGCTTTGGATTACTTGGTGAGTTTTCTAGTTTCTAGTAATTGAATTTTAGCATTGTAACAAAGGCAGAGACCTGGTATCGTGTCAGTACTGGAAGGAGTTCAAGTTTAAGTTTAGACGCAGCAACAGAAGCAAGGTGAGAGGAAGACAGAAGAAGACAGGATGTTGAAGTTGAGCTGGAGGTCAGATAAGACATGAAATGAAAGGTCAGAGACAGATTAAAGAGAAGCACCTCCAGGCTGATAGACAAAGATAGAGAGGTGGTGACAACACAGGGAGAATAAAGACAGTCAGAGATGAGATAACATAACTGAAGTAAGAAAAGGAGAAAACTTTAGTATCTCGATACTTGAGGTGAAAACAAGTAGAAAAAGAAACCTGAAGTACAAGTGTGAGTTTGTGCTAATGTCCAGCAATGGCAACAGGTGAAGGCATCGGCACCCTGTTACCGCCTACACAGGCCTGTTGTCATTATTGTTGCAAGCTGTTTGTGTCCAACAGAGTAGAAATCTTCTCATCGCTGCTGAAAAAAAATACTTTTATACAGTTCATTTCACGTCATTTCATCACTTGTCAACTTTCAACAACAGACCTCACCATTCATGCCAGTGGGCTCATACTGTTTTAAAACTATCGGATTTATTGTCAGCTGACCCTTGTCCATCATAGAGCTGCTTTTATAATCTCCATTACTGTATTGTGTTTACCACGTTAAATAAATTGAAACATGGAGAAAAAAAATAAAACATCTCACTGAAAACCAAAACAAACTCTGAGAACTACATTTTGCTTGGTTATGGACAACATGAGATGAGACATAATAATCCTTTTTTTGTTTTGTTTTCCCTCTGTTGCATGAAAACAGGAGGTACATTTGATTACATCCGAAACATATGAGAGCCTTTTCCAGGTCTGCCACCGTGTGCTTCCAGGCCAAACATTACAAGTGCCTGAGACATTTCGAGAGCATAATGATAATGTGAAAGTTTATCGATCCCAGTGTGGAAATTTCTCTCTCTCTAACCCCCCCTGGCAGGTGGTCTTCACCTGGTAAACAATCCTCTTGTCTATTCTAAGAACAGAATTAGTGTGGTATGTCAACGCTGTGGGATGGCTCAGTCAATACTTGCGAGCTTGAAAAATTGAGAAGGCTTTCATATGATGTAAAACTTTGATTATATTTGGAGCTCTCGACTATTTATGTGCTCATTGGGCTGTTGTTGTGTTGATTTGCTTTCAGGGAGTTCAGTATGGTTTCTGTCTTTTGCTAAATAGGCTTTAATGAGCTGTGGGTCTTAATGGAGGCAACAATCCAAGACTTCTCTTCATCATTGCTGACTGCTATGACTTGGTTCTTTCATCCTGCACTCCTGCCCAAGTTTAGTAAGAAATTAGGGAGATCGTTTTATTATTATTATTATTATTGTTGTTGTTGTTGCCTCTGTTCTGCAAAATTCAAGCCTCTGTTATTCCAAGAAAGACTGCATCATACTGCTCACCATTGTAAATTCATTGACAGTGTTTTTTTCCAGCCAGATAATTTTGATTCAGTGTCAACAGGTCTGCACCTGAAAAGTCACAATCAGGTGAGAGGTGTTGGACACAGCTGCTGGTCGAACACCAGACACCCGCCAGAGTTACAGTCAGAATGAAACTGTCTCACTTGTTTTTGTGTATGTGCCGTTTGGAGCAGTCATGGCTGGTTGATCGTCTGCCGTATGTTTACCTGATAGCTCCACAGGAACCACGGTATCAGAAGAACTGGACTGAATATGTGTCCAATCATTTTGATGATTTAATTCATTTTGATTGTTCCCACTTATGACTTTAAACAAATCTTGGCATATAATTTGAGTTGAAAAACTGGTTCCAATTCAGAGCCGGTTTTAAACGCTGTTGAAACAACAGGTGCAAAATGTGTGTGGGATGCATATATAGACTGTGATCATACACTTCACACGTGGACTAGCTGACTGTAAATCAGCATTTTTGTATAAATTGCAAACTGTTACTGTAAAGCTTTTTGAAGAACTGTAGCCTGAACTGCAAATGTTGCTTCAAGTGCTGAAACTCTTTCTGTGTTTGTACACTTCTGGGGCTGGAAGGCTGAGTAAGAGGAAAGGGTATGAAAAGTCCTCCAACTGGCTGGCACCAACACTGAAAGCTCTGGAAATAAATCTACAGAGCCAAACAAGTACACACAATTACATAAGTATACACATATAAAAATATGCAAACATAAACTGTACCGCTCAAAAGTTTGGACACACTTTCCCATTCACAGTAGAGCCACAAAACAACACAAACACAGCGGTAATACACCAGAGCTACTGAATGGGAAAAACTACTTCTTGGGCCTCCCAGCATGCAGTACGCTGTAGCTTAGCATCTGACGCAAGTTGGGGTAAACCCACACTACCTGAGGCGAGCACCGAGGGGACGCGCTCATCTTTCTGCGCCCAGAGGGTGAGCCGAGTCAATTAGAGGATGAGATGGAAAAACAAACACAACAGATGATCCACAGGCTGCAGGAAAACTGCTCGTTCTACCGTCGGCCTCACGAGCAAGAACAAGTATCTGATTCATAAAACTGTCCTGACCCGATTCAAACGTTCAATCTGGTTAAACTAATCAAACTGCGAAAAAAAAAGGCTTGTGATGAGGCTCTGTGGATTTATGTAATGCCTCCTTACTCCTGTATATACTGCACACCGCTCCTGCTCTCTGCTAGTCCAATAACTCATTAGTTGACTCTATAATAAGTGCTGGAAACAAGGCAGCAGCAGCTAGAGCTCAGATCTCAGTGTGAGATATAATGTATTTACAGTGCTGCTCTATAAGGGCCTTTACGCACGGACGTGAATAAATCATTATGTTAAAAATACAGAAAGAATAATCTTAATTAATGGGGGCAAGTGTGGTAACGTGTGTAACTGTGCATGTGCCTCTTTTTTTCCTATCAACATGCATATTTCATTTCTCTTTGAAACACTCGCAGGCGTGAGTGGGTGCCCGATTGTTGCCATGCAGATGGATCTGTGCCAATCATCTTTTAACATAATTCCTCTTCTCTCTGTCTCTAATGAGGAAAATGTCGACAGACATCACAAACAAAGCAGCGTGAGTCTCTAAAGCCTCTCATGGTGTCAAGAACACTGTCTCCTGAAAGAAATTTGAAGAAAGTGTGCTGTGGTAATCCTGATGGTAAATACGACAACATTGCCAGCAGAAGCTGATTAATGCTGAGCATCCACTGTAATTATCACATTAGCATATTGTAATCTCACAAATTATCATGAAAATCACCATGACAGCTTTCTTTTCTCTCTTTTCCACTGGGGATATCAGGCTACAATTTAATTGCTGAGGATTTTCTTCCTCTTTTTTTTTTTCATTTTAAAGTGACACCAATTTATGAAACTAATCCAATGGGGGGGGGGGGGGGGGGGTTATGACACATCATCACAGCAGAAGAGCACAGTCACACACGTGCATGCAGAGCTACCAAAATGCAACTCTTGTCGAGCGATAAATTTTTACAGCTGCGCATTAATTATTCATTAAAATGATAGAAGGAGCCAGTGGAGGCTTAATGTGAGCATCCCGGCAACACAAGCACCTAGCCCGCAACACACACACACACACACAAACAGACACAAACAGACACACACAAACACACACACACACACACACACACACACACACACACACACACACACAC